GGGGGTCTCCGGCATAACAGGCACTGCAGACTAACGAGTCTTTGGTGCAATTAGGACGTCCCCTGTCCCGCCCCCTTTGCGCTGCGCACAACATGCGCACACACACGTGTGACGTCCTGGAGGACGCGCCTTGACGATTCGCTAAAACTGCTCGCCTCTCGCTGAGCGCCTCTGCTGCCCCCCGCTGCCGCTGATGATACTGCTGATGTTGTTGTTGTTGTTGTTGTTGTTGTGACGGTGTGTTTTTCGGTCTTCAATACCTCGAGCGCGGATCAATTAAAAAGTCTATTTGCCTCAAACGGCTCGCGTGTGGTGGAACCCCGTCAGCATGACGCGGAACACATCCGCCCGGGGTCGGCAGAAGAGAGGGGTCCAGCCGGATGAAAAAAAAGGGGGGGGCGGTAAGCGTTAGTAGGCCTACGTCGATTTTTGCGATCCTGATCATTTGTCTTCCCTGTTCTGGAAGGCATAAAAGTTAGTTTCTTGAAAAGCAAAGATAATGTGTCCTCACCATAAAGATCAGCCTGGAAAGTTTTTAAATAATAAAAGAGTGACCAGAATAATAATGAGAAGACAAGAAGAATGTTCCTTATTTCGTGCGTACAGTGCGTGGCCTGCATCGCGATCAGGCGGCGACCGAGCAGGAGTGTGTGATGGGGTCCACGCAGAACAAAAAGGCAAGCTAGGAAATTTTCCAGCCCGAGAGTGTTGGACTGGCCTGACAACTTCTACCACCGACTCCAACGGCAGAGAAAAACCGGACAAAGGTAGGGGGAGCTCCTCGTGGAAAAATGACCATCCGGGTCAAGGTTAAGCTCCGCATGTAAAGACGCAAACAAGCACTGACTCTACAAAGACGGCACGGTATGGGCCAGAATTAAAGCCGACCCTTTCATTGAGCGGGAGATGATGCTCCAATGCTCCATCCCTGCGTCACTCATAATAAATCAAACACCTCGTGGCACACACTGAACACGGTTTAACACACATCATCCCCACACCTCATCGCTGGACACACACCTGGTCGCTACACTGGAGACACCTGTCTTGCACTTGGCCCCGGGATCACTGTTGGACGCGGACGCGGACGAGTGTGGGAAGGCAATGAGAGACTGGCACTCGCGAGACCCCTCCTCGGCCTGGTCGACCGGCAGGAGGTGCTGCTGGCCGCCAGGCTCCGGCTGGGCCCCCTCCAGCCCCCCTCCGGTCCCCCCTCCCCCCACCTCCCATATGCCCCTTAACTTCCCCTGTCCGCTCTGCACAAGCCCCGACGTACAAAGGCTCTGCGATATTGTCGCCTTTCAGGGGGCAGGTCAAGGACCAGGACCATGGGGTGTGAAGCAGACCCCGCGGTTGCCGCTATGCCCCACCGCCCTAGGCTAGGCTACAAAAGAATTTGAAAAAAAAAAAAAAAAACAACTACCAAAAACTGACATGTGTCAGTGACCAACAGAAAAATTTCACTGAAGGGTATGAATATCATTTAAAATGCAGTAATTGGGACACTTTTTAGTAGTTTCCGAAATTTTTCAGTTCCAAACAACTACATGGAGTACATCTATTTAGTGCTGATACCGTGTGTGTTTGTCAGTTTTGCAGCCTTTTAGCTGCACGCAACAGGAAAGGGGGAAGAGGGGGAGGGGGGAGGGGGTCAGCCCTGAGATGCGAATGTCCTCCAGCACTACCGCCGCCAGCCTCGCCGCGCCACGCCGCGCGCTGCGCCGCAGAGTAGAGCTTCTCCAGCGGCTCATTAGAATTCACACGTTATTCCCCGGAGGACGAGCCGACCGGTCTCGGCCCGCGGCGGCTGCACCTTTCGGGATCAACAGGTGAGACGAATAGCAAGATCCGGACCCCCGTACACGGAAATTCACACATCAGAGGTTCGGCCACGAATTTATTTAAATCCGAATGGCGCGCCTCGGCCGGTGGTGTGGCGCCTGTAGGGCAGGGCGCGAGGCTGTGCTCCGCGCGTTGTTTCCATAAGACAGTCTGAAGCGAGTTGAACTACAGATGTTGGTCTGGGTAAGAAAATAATGCTCGTCACAGAAAATAATCCATTTTCTCTTTATTCCAAAGAACTCGCGTGAACCTCTCATTTTGCTCGTTGACGACGTTCTTCATACGCTTTCTGAAGCCCCATTTACGCATCATCACCCGAAAAAACCAATATACACATTCAGAGTGGACGCGGCTCGGCCCACTCTGCTCGTGTCCCTCCCTTCGTGTCGGGTGCTCCGTGCCCCTGCTCCACCCTCTCCTCCTCCTTCTGTCACTTATGGTAGCGTCCAATGGGTGAGCGAGTGGCACTGCTGCACGCGGCACTATAGGCGCTGGGCGTCCTGATGCCCTTAGCCTCACAGACCCGCCTCCGACCAACCCTCCGCGGTGTTGTGGACAGCGGCCTGCCCGCCAACATGTCCGCGAGGAGGACGATGACCAGGCTCGCGGCCCCCGTGGCGGTCCTTCCCCCACGGGGGCCTCCCTCCGCTGCCCGGTTCAGTTGAAGACGAGGTCCTTGTAGTTGCCCAGCAGGTAGTAGTTGGACACGCGGCTGCTCGTCGACGTCCTCACCACCGTGTTGCGGTCCGCGCGCTCAAAGTTGGCCTTGACGATCTCGTAGTATCGGCCGTCGCTGCAACAGGGGCGGATGGTCAGGTCATGGTGGGTGGTAGAGATATCAAAGTCCGAAATATGGGAACTACACAAGAAAAGTCGGAAAAAATGAAATATTGCCTAACAAATGACAAATTTCCTCCAATAATTTTTCGGAAAATTAAGGTCCCTAGGTTAGGGTTAGTGCACACAGTGTACAGGTGGTAGGACGGCTGGGTGAGGACGTGGCAAAAGGGAATGAGCTCGGGAAAAGGCCTCCAGGTTTGCGAGGAACTCACTTGAGCACCAGACAGCGCAACTTGAGGCACTTGACTCGGAGGATGTCGATAGCCTTCTGGCTCTTGTCGGAGAACCGGAGGTTCTGCGGGTCCCACCGCAGCTCCAGTCGCTCGAGGCGCGGGAGGTTGTTGGCGATACCGTCCATCAGCTGGTCGACGTGGATGTTGACGCCCAGCCGCTCCGGGGTGCCCATCACCAAGATCCTGTGGGCAGACACACCGCGATGTAGACCGACGCGTTCCCCGGTTGTGTCGGCCCGGCCGAAGCCTTTCGGCATGTCGTCACCGATACGTACTTGGCGTTGTTGAGGATGGGCATGACGGACATCCACAGCTGGTCCGTGATGTGCGGCATCCCGGACAGCACCAACCCGGACAGCTGCTGTCCGTGGCGCGACAGGAACTTGTACAGCGCGTCGTCCGTCAGGTTGTCCGAGGAGTCCAGGTCCAGGGCGATCAAGTTCCGGGGATTGCCGCCTTCCATCCAAGCCTTGAGGACCTGCGGAACAGAGCAAGCCGTCAAGGTTAAGGTTTCACAATTTCAGTTTAATCGGGGATCATTGGGTCGTCCCTGCCATCCCGGTGGCGGACTCTCGTGCTAGGGGAGGGCCCCCAGGAACTCGTTGGCCCACGCCCTCGCTTGGCACGACTCCACACCCGCCACGAGTCTGCCTGCGGCACGCAGGCCCGGGCGCACTCTGCGACGCCCCGCGCGAGACGCCTCGGTTTTACCTCGAAAGTGATTCCTTGACGGCCCCCCGGAGCTGCACCACTCTTTCACACAGCGGAGGCTTACCGTGTCGTTGAAGGAGTTGAGCTGGCCGGCACTGAGGAAGCGCAGGTTGGGGATCCTGGTGAGCAGGTCGATCAGGCACTCGGTGGAGACGTCCGTCGCGCTGATGTCCAGCTCCTGGAGGCTGACCTTCTCCCACTCCACAGCCATCACGTGCTCGGAAATGAGGCCTGGGGGCGAAAAAGGAATGGGCTAAGCTTTTACGAAAGGGGGAAGAGGGGGGCTGTAAATAAACTAGTTTATGAGCTCGCATACAAACTTACTTGTTTGGTGCATGAGGAGACATTTTAATCGTCGACTTCTTTGGAATAATGTTTTTAGAGTTGAGCCGGTGACTTTGTTGCAAAAGTTGACGGCAAGACATTCCAGCTGCAGGAGAAGATGTAGTTATGAAAGTGGAACAACACGAAGGACACTATAGGAAGTCCGAAACAAAAGACTCACCTGAATACAGTTGGAACTAAAGGCATCTATGTGGCTGTCGTCTATGAAGTTGATTCCATACAGGTTAATAACTCTTAGATTTGGGGTTGCGCTCTTTAATTTGTGAACGTTGATGACTTCGTAAATTTCTTCTTCCTCTTCCTCGACTTTTTCATATGTACCTAAGGGAACCAAGTAAAATCATAAAAACAAAATAATGCCGACGACGCAATTCACAATTTATATTTTAAATAATGAATGAGGCATCCCTCCTGCCTTACCTATTAAATGCAAAATTTCTAGACCATTAATGAAATTATAAATTTTTCTCATGAAACCCTCCATGAAGATGACCTCCGACAGACATATAACCATATATTTAAGCTTAGCTGGAAAGGCCTGCAAGACAAATGCCATTCAAAGTCACGAAACGCGTTCGACGCGACAAAACAAGAATTGGAGGTGGCGACGATTTGAACCTGCATCTCGCTGAAGTCGTGGAGCTGCATGGCCGTGGAGAAGTCGAGCAGCATGTGCGTCAGATTGGGGCACTTGTTGCTCAGCTCGTGCAGCACGGTGTGGGTGATGAGCTCGATGGGGAGCTCGATGTACCGCAGCGACGGCCCGAACCGGATGCTGCAAACACGTGACGTGACATCGTCAACTTTACAATCTCCACGACCACGAAGGTGAGGAAAGAAAGAGGAGGAGAGGGTGGAAAGGCAGAAGGAGAAGAGGGGGGGGGGGGGAGGGGGTCCCACCTGATGAGAGCGAGGAGCGCCTCCAGGGAGCCGACGTGCAGCCCGGAGATCTCCGGCCGCAGCGAGACGCTCTTCCACAGCCGCGTGTCGTACGCGATGAGGCGCCACTTGCGGCAGACCCGCGCCATGCGGCAGATCTCCCGGTGCGTGAGGTACGAGAAGATGTGCATCAACACCTTGTCCGGCAGCTTCTCGATCGTCTGCAACAGGCAGAGGAAGTCGTCGTGAGTCAAACGGCTACGTCGTGCACGACAGCATCCGAGTCCGAAATTTTTGCGGCAAATTTCGAAACTTTTCCAGTAAATTCTCCAACAGTTGAAATAATTCCAGAAAAATTCAAAAACCAATGGAACTTCTCAGGCAAAACTATCAATAGATGAAACAAATCTTGAAAAATTTCCCAGAAATACTTTACCGGAAAATTGAGATCCCTAGTCCAGCCCACACTCGCTCCCAGCTGCGAGGGGCGAGGACACTCACCGTGTTAGCGAAGGGGCTTCGCATAACACCATCGACGAGATAGACGGTGGAGGCCTCGAGGGCCACCTGCGCCCAGACCTACACACAACCACGCGAGACGCTCGTCATGGCTTACTCCGGAGGCGTCAGTGCGTGTAAGTAAGTGCACCATGCCGGGGCCGTGTCAGTGTATGTGTGTGTGTGTGGGGGGGGGGGGGGGGAGGGGTTGTATCAGGGGTAGGTCAGGACCAGGGCGGCACGCACCCCGCGGCGGCACAGCGCGGCCGGCGCGTCTAGCGGCGGCGCGGCTCGACCCAGCTCACCGAGGGATAAGGCTCAGACATAAGAATAGCAGCGAGGCAGCCCAGCAGAGGGAAGGGGGGCGTGTGCGTCCCTTACAACTCGCCGCGTCGTCCTGCGGGCAGCCCGCGGCGGGGCTCTAGGCGCGGTGGCGGTGGTGGTGGTGGTGGTGCCACGCTGCGCCGCGCCGCGAGCAGTCTCGTACCGCTATCGAGTTTGCATTCCGCGCCTTGCCTCCTCGCTCTCGCATTCGAACGTGACTCGAGGCGAGGGAGGCCCCCGAGCGCCGACGGCCGCAAAAATAAAGTGAAAAAAAAAAAGATTAAATAAAGTGGCCGATGCGCGGTCACGAACCTGGGTCCGCGCCAGGGGGCGAGCGCAGGCTCTGGCGTCTGCGGGCCACGATCATGATCCGTCTACCGATATGAGGGGAGAGGCGGACGCGACGGGACGCGCCGGTCAACAGGACCCGCGCCCGCCCCTAACCCCCTTGCTTGTCCACGCGCACGCGCACCCGCACCCGGTGATCACCTCGAGGTGATTGGTGGGGCTGTTGACCGCAATCGACTCGATCGCCATTACGTGTAGTGCAACCGCCAAACGACATAGTTGAAAAATGTTGGCACGGCCCTGCAATTAGGATCGCGGCGGTCGGACCGGGTGGGGGGGCCTGCCTGGGTGGGGACGGCCGACCATCCCTCCCGTCGCGATAGGGGCGGCCGCCGCGCGTGCAGCCCATAGAGGGTGGATATCAACACCTGAGCTCCCCGGCGGCAACGTCATGGCGGCGGTGCAAGGGAAACCACCAGCGGGCCCTGCTGCGCGTCGTGAAGTTCGCGGCCTCCGTCTTCCCCCCGACCCCTCCCCCAACCCCGTCATGACCGTTGGTCGCGAGCTGCGCCAAACTCGGCGGTTAGCCCGTTTCTCGAATCTCGCGGACACGAGTGAGTCGCTAAGGGTGATGGTACGGCGAGCAACCCTCTACTGCCAGGGCGAGGGGGAAGGGGAGGGGGTACCCTCCTGGTACACTGGCACACCTGTAAAACGCACCCGTTTGACGTCCGCGGCAGAGTTCCACTCCTGACGGATCACGTTTCTCACTACCTCAGAAGACTCGATCCCGGACCCCGCCGATGCGAGCTCATGATAATGATTGATTGTTTTGGAAGAAAGGGGAAAGGGGGGGGGGCGATGTTGATGTGTTTGGTAGTGCTGTTGGCCCGTGTTGTCTGCTTGACACTGACGTCTCCGGACAGATCCATGACGGCGGCCTCGGTTCACTGCTGAGAGGGCGACGGCGCGGTCCTCGACCAGGGTGGCTGGCTGTCGGGCCCGATCCGCGCTTCACAGTCCGGCCAGCCTCCGACGAGGCCTCTCCATGACGGTGCCGGTCTCGCGTCACATCACCGCGTCTCGCGCGCGACGTCACCGCCCCGTGGCGGCGCGGTCAACGGCGAGGGTCACCGCCGGCCAGGGGAGGCCAATTCACTGCTAGAAACTGAAACGCCTCGGCTATAACAAGCGGGCGGGGGAGCGATCCTGCAAGACGGTGTTCTTTAAGACACACGTCACGCTGGGGGCGGAGGGAGGCGGGGAAGGGGGGCGTGACAGCAGGTGCGCCCCGTCCGTGTTCGGACATCCATTGACACCTGGCCGCCCCGCCTGACCCCGACCCCTAGGCCCTGGCAGCTCCGCGAGGGCCCCACTGACCGGCGAGTGACCCCACACGCAGCACGCACGCACGCACGAGTACGGACGGCTCACACGCACTAACGCACGCGGCACGCACGCGCACGATAGCAGGGTAGAGGGCGATCGGCGCGGCACTGGGGCGGTGGGCCGGGCGGCGCCCTGACAGTCGCGGCACCCTCACCCCGCCGCGCCGCGCACCCACCCCGCCCCGCCGCGCCCCTTCTCGAGGACCCACACGGCCCAGAGGCTGTGCACGCTGGGTAGGCTGAAAATAAACATGCTCCCTGATGCCTGGCTGGCCGGGTTGAGCCGGGCGGGCCGCCGGGCGAGTGGCCGTGTGTCGCGCGGGCCCCCGCGTCCGGTCCGTCGTGTCCCATGGCACCGTGACCCCCGCCCGCGCGGCCTCGGCACCTTGGTCCCCTGGCTTCGTCACCCCCCTTGCTGCCCGCACTTGTCTGCCCGTCGCTAGCCAGCGCCACTTTCCTGGAGGTGGATGCGATAACGCCGAGCTGGGATTCTCATCACAATCCCCCTTCGCTCCTGTCGCGCACACCCATCCCATTGTTCCATCTCTACGGGCGCCGAATCTGAGAAACATGACGTGATGCGGGCGCCGAACCGCGCATGATAAATCAATCAGCTGTCTGCCGCCAGGAAGGGTAATTGGATTGCGGTAAACTAACTGCGCGAGGCTCTCTTTCAAGCTAGAGCTGTCCTAAAGATTAAGGTCCCCGGCATGTCGAGACGCCCTGCCGGCCGTGGCCGGCGGCGCTGCTCCAGCAAAAACAGGCCCTCGAAAAGGATGAGTCCTCCTGCGCGGAGCGGGCGCCGCCGAACGCGAGCAAGAGAGCGAGAGCGCCGCCACCTCTCAGGAAATGTTGCCCCGTCCCCCTACCCCGCATCGCATACCCGCGATTCGCTAAGAATACAGAAAGAAATTCTCGCAGACGCGGTGGTGTGGTCGCCCGCTAGCAGAGCGTCCGCGCGGGCGCGCGAGCCGCCGCCGCCGTCGTCAAAAGGGTGGCCGACGTCCGCGGCGTGCTCCTCTCCTCAGCCTGAGGTGAGGGAGGAGGCACGGTCCCCGCAGTGTGCTTCATCGCGCCGCACTTGCGGGCCGAATGGGTTGCCGATGCTCCGCCGCGCGGGCGCCCCTGTCTGCCAGTCCGCCGCTCCTGTCCGACCTCGCCTCGGGAGCCGCCCGGCGGGGTGGGCACGCCCGTCGGACGCGCGAGCGCACCGGGTCTGCCTACCCCCCTCTCCTGCAGGCGCCCCCGCCTCGCTCGAGCCGAGAGGAGGGAGGAGGGCACCGCCTTCCCTTCACCTCCCGCTCGTAAAGTGCGAAACTCACCTTTGAGCAGCAGACGCTCTCCCCGCCCCAACCCATACCCCGGCCAGCG